CATTTAAATAAAAAAATTTTATCAATTAAGATAATTTGTCAATTTGAAAGCTAATGTTGTAGCAAATGATTATTTTTACCGAGTACAGGTTGAATCTCGACCTCTTTCGGTCGATCTCTGATTCGAAATTTAGAGTTCGATGTGTCAATTACACACGAAAAGAAAATAGTTCTAAACATTCTAAAATCACGATTGGTTTGGGCAAATTATCTAAAAAACTATTAAGAACTAGAAAAAGCAATTAAATAATGATTTAGAGGAAAATAAGAAGGTCTGGGTGTCTGGAAATCTCATCAAACCCTAAATCTATGTTGAACGCCTATTTGTTCGGTTAAGTAATTCGACAAGCCTACACGTCTTGAAGTTTACGCTCAATAATTCTACGTAACAAGAGAACAATCATAGACGGAAATTTGGCGAAGCGAATAACATGTAGGCAATACAGTTACGAATAAGCATACCCTATGCGAGCCTATGTCGAATAATTCCTCCCCTTTCGCTTTTACAAGTTGTTTAATTAGATTAGATGGTGATCAGTCGAGTAACCTTAGGAATCACACAACTCGTACAAATTGAACAATTACACATTCAAACACGAGAATTGAAACCCTTAGCCCTATGTGGATGAATTACCTCACGTTTAGATTCAAATACAAGTTAATCTAATTAATCTAATGTGAGAAACACCCATCAATTAACAAACATAATCAAATAATAAAAATAATAAACCAAAAAATCTATAAGATGAGTTCAAATAAACCCGAAAGAAGACTATAAAAATACAGAAAAATAATATAAAAAATATACACNAAATTATCAATCTAAGAATCTATTTACTATAATTGTAGAGTTTGAAAAATAAAGTAAAAAACAAAAATGGATTTTTTTAGACCATCAATCACTCATTTAATTTCCTCTCTTGAATCCTTTTACTAAAATGGAGAAAAATGAACATAACTAGAGCAATAAGATAGAATATATTTACTGCATGCATGTTCTCTTCACTTTAGAGCAAAAGAATTCATTACAAAAGAAACAAAAATCAAAACAGTGCTTCATCTATATTCTTCTCATGCCGCCCAAGCGTGATCGGCGCGTAAGACGTGTAATGCGAATATTTGGTATCTGGAGTCTTCTCCACTAAACTATGATTAAAAAATTCAAACCACCGAGCTATATTTTGGGGATATCCAAATTTACCGAACTAACATCACACAGCCCCTCCGTTTTGGGCTATTGGAGCAGCCAATCAAGGGTCCTTAATCTAACTGGTGTTTTTTGTACCTTGAATTATGAAATTATTCAGCTTCTGATTATGAAATGTTTTACCTTTTCAGTTTAATTACTAGTGGCCTTTCCAATTTGTGTCTTGTTATAAATAATGCACCCAAAACGTTAGGTTGGTGGACCTGCCATAATTTTTAAGAAATATGGCTGCGCCTAACACTTAGACCTGTTCAATAACACCTGTAAATTGTAGTCAAATCGACAGAAAATTAAGAAATTCACCAATTATTTGAGGGTGTTTTATCAAAAGAATAATATCTCCTTAGTCCTTTCTTCAGTTCATCATGTTTATTTTATTTTGGGGTGAATGTAATAAAGAGTGTTGTTTAAATAGTGCATTAAAAAGTAGATTGATCTGTAAATTTTGATAATAAATTGGTTCAAGTCAATTTTACCAATATTAAATAACTTCTGTTATGAAGAGTAAAGCGTTTCTGTTTGTGCTAACATACAAATTCAATAAATATAAATGTAACTACTGTGTGACTAATGAAATGTAATTATTAATTTCTCATGTCTCAATATATCTAACAGATTGTGCATGATAAATATACTTTAATATTAGCAAAAGAAAAAATATAAAAAATGTGGTCGATGCATGCAAATTTTCTATATGGGCACCTAAAATACATTCTTCATCCGATGTGAGTGACAGCAACACAAGGATCAAATCAAAGTGTTTGACTTTTAAAATCATTTTTAAGAGCAAAATAACTAAATAAGACGTACAAAGTTAGATAACAACTAATAAAAAATGCAAGTATTGTAAAAAAGTTAATAAAATGCAATTGACTTAAAAGGTAACGTGTGAAGAAGTTGACGGGGCTGGCACGTTTTCACACGTTATCCTTCATTATCAAATTGCAAACGCCCGATTGCTTCATTCTTCTGATAATCTAAGTCAACATTTTCGATATCAGAATTCAAATATATATTGGTAATTAAGAACATAATTTATTTAATTCTGATTTCATGATACGTGTCATAGTTTTTTCTCTTACATTGACAAATTTAGAAAAGTCATTTAATATGTGTGAGTGATTTGAATTTCATGTATGTAAGCTGGCTCGAAGAAAAAATTAAACCTTTTTTATGTACATGCAAAACTAAATCCAATTCGACTATCATAAATGGCTTTTAAGGAATAACTGGGACATATTTGACCAAAATTGCAATTCTATAAAATACTATACCCAAAAACTCATGTAGTTTTCAAAATAATCCATTATTATCTTTTTCTTAAAGGGAAAAAACCTAGTCTTTGTAATTATGATGTAAATGAACAACTAATCTTAAATTAGTTTGTTATGTTAGACGAGTCTAATCATTAGGACAACATACTTTTTTTTGTTTTTCTTTTTTACAAAAATGCATATTTTCATTAAAAAATGTCATACTTAAGAAACAATATAAACAAAGTATGACATTTGATAGCTTGAATAATTTTTCGTTCAAAATAGTATATATCGACCGTCTAACCGTTAATCTGACCCATCTCTCTCACACACACATCCATACACACTCTCTCACACACACACTAAAGATGACTGCATGGTTTGATGGCACTATTTGCGTGTCAATAGCAACTGCAAACCCCTCCTTTCATGGCTTTTGTTCTTCTTCTATTGCACTCATCAACATGCTTCACTTTTTCTTCCATTTCAATGCTCCAAAACATTTTCTTATTCAATCCTTAACATGCACCATTTTTTTTCCTTAATTACTCCTACATATATGTAATAAGAGTGAGAAAGCTTGTTGACATAGAGAGAGCAGCCCGTTGACATTTGAACTTTCATCANATTTGATATAAACACACACACACATACACATCTATATGATCCATCTATCACAGATTCACAGTTACAAACTCCACATTTATTTCAATCCAAAGGTAACTCCTTTTTTCATCCACTTAACGCCCCTTGTTCTGATTACTTCATTTTTTCATTTAATTCTTTTGTAAGAAAAAAAATGGGTTTTGTAATGAATGCTTGTGTTAGTTAGCATGGCTCATTTTGAGAATAAAAGCTGATATCTTGGTTATAAAAGGTGTTTTTTTTCATCAGCGCTCTGTACTTCCTTTTGTGGTTAAATACTCTGTTTTGATGGGTTTTTCTTGATTTTGTGTGGCTTTCTGTGGATTAAAAAAGAAAAAGAAAAAAAAATGATCAGATTGAATGAGAATATGGAATCACAAAATTGCTTGTATGAAATTACAAAATTTTTTAGAATATTCATTTATTTATGTGAATTGAAATTGAATTCTCCTTAATCAGCATGTTCATATTGTTATTATCAATTTGTGTGAATTTGGTGTATTACTCTGTATCATCTGGAATATGATGCCAACACATAAAGATTTTGAGTGGATAATTCATATAAAGATTTTCACAACTTGACTTATAATGAATTTTTCATCAAAGAAAATTGATTTATTTCCTGATTTATTTTCAGGGTGGTGGTTGACTCTGAGGTGAAGCTTTCTCCTGTTGCATCTTCAGATTGAAGCTTCTTGCATATATATATCAATAAGGTGACAAATTGGACACATTTTTTTTTTTTGTTTTGCCTTTTATTCTCTTGTTACCTCTTTTTTTCGCGGTTAATTCTATTTTTTTTTCATAATTTATAGCAACAAAAATAAATAAATCCATGATAACGGATTTCGAATTCTTCCACTCATAGTATGATCCGACGAACAGTTTCTTGATTTTTCCAAATTTATGTTTCGGATTGTCTGCATTTGTTCTTAATAATAAT